TGGGATGCGATTCAACTAGACCCAGCCATCGTCATATTCTATCAGAGGTGGGTCGAGCCCTAGTAGTGTTCAAGTAGAGTTGGAAGTAGCTATAGTAGCAGTCGGTATAAGATGGATCGGTCTTTCGGAGAACTCAATCCGAGCCTGAACCATCTATAGTAGGATCTACTCGAGTTGGATCGAACCCTGCTAGGATGCGATTGAATTTTGATCCAGCTGTAGTGGGATTATATCAGAGTTGGATCGAGCCCGAGTGGGGTTCAAGTAGAATTGGAAGTAGCTATAGTAGGAATCGATATGAGATGGATCGGTCCTTCGGAGAGCTCAATTCGAGTCATAACCATCTATAGTAGGATCTACTCGAGTTGGACCGAACCCGGCTAGGATGCGATTGAACTTTGATCCATCTGTTGTGGGATTCAATCAGACTTGGATCGAGCCCCGGTGCGAGTGAAGTAGAGCTGGGCCTCATGGCCATCAATGTTAGAGCCAGCTCTAGTACGATTCGACTAGAGTTCGATCGAGCACTAATCGGGTTTTACTGAGTGAATTATTCCGACGGAAGGACCCCACATGAGAATCCTCTGGGCGAATCTGGAAAAAGCGCTCACCGTCGTCCTCGTGGTTGGTGAGGCGTCCTGACTGTCCCTTCTGCGTATATTTCTTCTCGCCCTGGCGCGGCCCCCCCCCCGCTCCCCACGTTGCCCCCGACCTCGCCCTCCTGTTTTTTTCGCGCCCCGCCACCGCCTCGCCTTTCCATTGCACGAGCGCGCATGTCGGTTTTCCTCGGCGCCGTCGCCGCCTCGGCCAGCACAGGCGCGTTCTCTAATGGCCACGTCGCGCAGCCGTTGGGACAACCCCGCGGGCCAGGCTGTCGGGACAACCCCGCGAGCCGCTTGCGCGCAAGACCAAGCCGTTGGGACAACCCCGCGGGCTTCGAGCGGGGCGCAGCCGCGCTCAGGCGGGCAGCACGAAACCCAGCTCTGCCGCGAGCTGCTTCGCCTCCGCCCTGGACAAAACCGCTCTCTTGTCGAACTCCAGGAGCGCCATTCCCGGACATCCAGAATGTGGCCCGGGAATGGTGTAACACGAAGTGGCCTACAGTTGGCTCCGGGGTTTCAACATGTGGCCCGGGAATGGTGTTCTGGGAACACGAAGAACACGAAGTGGCCTACAGTTGGCTCCGGGCATGCACAATGTGGCCCGGGAATGGCGTTCTGGCAGCGCGAGAGCCCAAAAGTGACGACAGAAGGTTTGGATGACCCGCTCGGATTACCAACGTGATCTGCGGGCCCCATAGGGAGGGGGCTCCCGCCTGAGACTTTCCTCACAATTCACTCACAGACGAGGCTCCCGCCTGAGACTTCCTCCAAATTCAGGCCTGAAGAGCCCAAAAGTGACGACAGCTACAAGGTTTGGATGACCCGCTCGGATTACCAACATGAAGCGCGGGCCCCATATGGAGGGGTTCCCGCCTGTGACTTCCTCGCAATTCACTCACAGACGAGGCTCCCGCCTGAGACTTCCTCCGTACTCAAGCTTGAGGAGCCCAAAAGTGACGACAGTTACAGGGTTTGGATGACCCGCTCGGATTACCAACGTGATCTGCGGGCCCCATAGGGAGGGGGCTCCCGCTTGAGACTTCCTCACAATTCACTCACAGACGAAGCTCCCGCCTGAGACTTCCTCCAGGTGAGTCTGTGAATGAGTGAGCGTGTGGCAGAGTGCGAGTGATGATGATGATGATGGTGGTGATGATGATGATGAGTATGTGAGTGACTGAGCGTGTGAGAGAGCGCGAGTGATGATGCTGATGTTGATGATGAGAGAGTGTGAGTGAGTGTGAGTGAGTGTGAGTGTGACTGAGTGGTGATGATGATGAGTGAGTGAGTGAGTGTGCGAAGGCAGAAGAGGAGAGGGGGTGGGGTGAGTGTTCCTGCGCGGGGTGTGCAGAGAAAACAAGAACCCCACTTTGGATGTGGGGAAAAAAGGGGTCGGGGACCTGGTGCGAGCCCCCCGCCCTTTGAAAAGGGGGGAGCCGCTCGGTTCGAACCCTCCCCTCACCCCGCGGGGATCCCCCCCCCGATCTCCAGGCGCTTTTGAATGTTGGACGCCCTAACCCCTCCGGGTTCCGACATATCCACTGGTTTGATTTCGAAGTGCGTTCTCTCTTTGTTCGGCGTCATCATCACGAACATCATCACCATCGTCATCGTCATCGTCAGAACCACCACTATCATCAATTTCCCTCCCCCAGGGTCTTCTCCAATTATGTTTCTCCGTCCGTCGTTTCAGACCCGTCCGATTTCCTTTATGAATCATTGTTTCTCCCCGTCCATTTCCTCGTGGTCACAATCAGCCTCGTCCTTCTCCTCCTTCTGCTCCTTTTCGTCCCCGCCATCATCTTCCTCCTCCCACCCCCTATTTGTCTTCGAGTCCCCCGTCTTCGCTCATCGTTGGTTTTCTCCTGCTGTCCTTTCCTGTTTCCTCCTCCTCAACCCAGTTTCCCTGCTCCACGTCACGTCGATCGGCGTGCAGTAGTACCCTGAGTGACCAGTAAGCACAACCACACCAGTTCAGCCACGCCCAGGCAAGGCAGTTTTTCAAATGAGCATCACGCGGGAACACCAGGGGGATCCAGCTGTTTGACTTTCGGGGGGGGCCCTGGGAGGGCCCCGAGAACGCGGCTTTTGAGCGGATGCGGCTGGGAGGTGGAGGAGAGAGGAGGGGGGTCCCAGGACCGAGGATCGATCCCCGCCCCCCCCTCTCTCCCTCGGAAGCCACCCAGAGATTCCTCGAGGCCTCCACAGGTTTCCAGGGGCCCTCCAGCTTGCTTGAGGCGCCGAGATGAATTCAGGGGACATCATTCGGCGTTCGACTTCGCTTTCAAACCACGCCAAGTCGTACTGACCACCAGCTTCCGCTCAGACGTTCCACCTGGCAGCCAGTTTGGTATGGATTGCCAGCGGGGCTCCCCCCCTTCAGACAAAAAGGTCGGGGAAGTTCCTCGGGACCCTCTGCTTGCTGCCCTACCCCCGACCTCCTGACACCCTCCCTCTCCGGCCCCCACCTTCCCGACTCTGGCGCCCATCTCTCGAACTCCAGCTCCCATCCCTCTGGCTCCAGCTCCCATCTCTCTGCAATTGGTCGTCTTTCCGATTCCAGTTTCCATCTCTCCGACTCCTCCAGTTCCGATGTCCGACTCTTACCCCAAACATCTTGTGAGGGCTCTACCCCCCGCGATGCCCTCTGAGGGCCGGTCCTGGCGGACCGACATCGCGCGCTGCTTCCTTCCCTCCCTCCTTCTTCCTCCCTCCGAGGTGCACGGGGCCCATGGCCCATAGGCCTTTGGAGGTCCACCGAAGCAGGGAGGGCCCAGGTATCTCGATCTTCTTCTGTCGTCCTCCGAACAGAGTCCGCTCAAGACGTGCCCTTGGACCTCCCCCCCTCCAGGGGTCCATCCTGGCATCCTTTGGCTTTTCACCCTGGAAGAAGTTCCGTCGGGCCCGGGCCCGGAAACGAGGCCCAACACACCCACATCCAGAAGATACATCCCGCGCGGTGTTTGCCGATTCTCTGTCCTCCTCCTCCTCTTCGGCCGATCCTCGGGCGGGTCCTCCCTCGTCAGAGACCCTTCCGGCCCGCAGAACGGGCGGCCGCCGTTCATCCAGTTGGTCTCCGGGTTGGTGGTGCTGAGCATGGTCGTCGTCATCGTTTACATGCGCCCTGGCTGCGCTAAGTCGGGCATGTCCCTCTACAGGAGGAATATTTCAATAATGGTAAAACATACTGTGGTGGCGATTTTTCTTTCGTGTACCTTTCGCTGTTCTGGATTACTTTTAGACTATGTTTCATTTGTCTTTCAAACTCCGCCTGTAGGAGGACATGCCCGACATATTGCTACGTTCTGTCGGGATGGTTGGAAGCTGGGACGGGTGGGTGGTGGTAGCAAATCGCGGGAGCCGTGTGTGCCGTTGCAATTCTGTCGTTAGAGTGTTTTAGCGTCGACTAGCGCCTGCTAATCGATGAACGTCGACTCAGCGCCGGTTAGCGTCGATTCGTAAGAGCCAAACCAGACGGTGTGGGGAGGCTCCCATGAGTTGCTGCAGAAGGTGGGCGGTACGCCTGCGGGGGTCGATCATCGAGTATCGAGATTCTGGGCTGTTTTTGTTGGCCTCCTTTTGGGCTCCCGGGGCGCTCTTGTGGCCACGGCTGGATCCGCTTCGAACTTCCAGCCAGAGTGCCCTCGCGCCCCAGGAGAGATCTAGGGGCCGATTCTCGAGCACTCAGATTGCGGCGTTCTGGAACAACACACACATTCACACACACTGACAGGCACACACATTTCCATACACTCAAACGCATTCGCCTTCACACACGTACTTTTACAGTCAGCGGGCGCAAGCGAGTCGAAGCTGGTGCATGCGCCGGTAAGGCTACGGGCGAGGCACGCCGGAAGCGAACTGGGGCACAGGAAGCGGAGAGGGAAGTGGGAAAGGCGAATGGAGGCGGTATTTGCTCAGAATCTGAAGTCCTTCGCGGGCGTGCCGAAGGAGTGCAAGGCGCAGCCGTGCGGCCGCGTAACAAGCAGCGGGTGGCCGGGGCCGGAGGAACAAGAATAGGTTTGAGTCGGGCCTGTCCTTCGACAGGATGAATGTTCAAGAATAGTGAGCACGTAGTCTGGGGACGATTTGTCTTGTATGTTTGGCTATCTTTGTGTATTTTTTGCGTGTGTTTCGTTTTTCTTCCAAAGCCCGCCTGTAGGAGAATACGGCCGACCTAGCAGTAGGCAGGATTTGAAAGAGCACGCGAAGCCCATGGCGGTGCAGGCGCCCAGAGGGCGGGGGGGTAAGTGGACGGGTGGGTGTGCCGCCAGGGTGGGCGCAGCGCCCCGGAAGGGCAAGGCCCAGTGGAATTCTGGGTACGCACGCACGCACGCACGCACGCACGCACGCACGCACGCACGCACGCACGCACACAAAAGCACACGCACACACACGCACGCACACGCACGCACACGCACGCACGCACACACAAACGTACACACACATCATGTATACATGTTCGCAGTATTGAATTGCTTGGTGTCTGGGGACTGCTTCCGGGTCACGGGGCCATCACACATGCGCCTGGGACGAAGAAGCCGCCCCGCAACATGGTCCGAGACTTCCACGGGTCCCACATTGACGTGACGGGACGCAGGGGATTGGAAGAGGGAGGATGGATGGAGGGAGGAAAGGGCGCATACCTATGTAGAAGCAGCAGGAGCCCCCCCCCAGCAACAGTTTGGGGTCGCGGGCCTTTCGTCTCTCCCCTCTCCCCTCCTTTTGAGGTCGTGTCGGCGTCTCCTCCCCCCCTTGGCTTGGGCGCCCTGCTAAGCCCGCGCGTCCCCCTTCCCCTAGGGCACGCGGAAGGGCCAGCAGCTGCCCCCCCCGCATTGACCCGACGGGACTCGCGATGTGAGGTAGCGAGCCTCTCTTCTTACGGAGCCACCTCGGAGCTCGGTCCTTGAGCTTCGGGGCGGGCCCCCTGCCGGCCCGGCCCTGGTGAGAAAGCAGGGCCGTAGCACAGCCAAGCGCAGGGGACTTTGGCAATGGCGCGCAGCTCACCCGTGTGGGTGCTCTGCCGCCACCTCCTCATGCGGATGTCCTCCTCCTCCGCGTCCTCCTCCTCCTCCTCCTCCTCCTCCTCCTCCTCCTCCTCCTCCTCCTCCTCCTCCTCCTCCTCCCCCCCCTCCTCCCCCTCCTCTACGTCCTCCTCTTCGTCCTTGCCCTCCTCCGCCACCTCCTCGTCCTCCAGGGTGCGCCCTGCCGCCCTGCCCGCCGCCTATTCTTTCGCTTCCCTCTCTCGGCGGCCTCTCTTTGCCCCCCGCGGTCGGCTCTGCCGTCCGCCCTGCGCCCTCCCGGCTCCCCTTCGGCGTTCGCCCCGCGGGCGGGCCGCGCGCCATCGAAGAAAACCATTGGCAGGAGGAGCTCGCGTGCGCCAGGACAGGTGGTGTCCTTCCTCCATGCTTCTGTCCTTGATATATGACCCCTGCCAGGGGAAACCTATTGTTTGGGAGAGCGCCTTTCAAGAGGCACCCTGGTCCGCGCGACGTTTTCGAGTGTATCCGGCTCACATGTTGCAGCGTTCCATGATGCAGATGCTAGATGGTGGTGTTGATGATGATGGTGCTGATGATGCTGGTGATGATGGTGATGCTGATGTTGACGCTGACGATGACCACGGCAATAACGATGCTGATGACGATGACGATGGCGATGGCGATGGCGATGATGATGGTGATGGTGATGGTGATGGTGATGGTGATGGTGATGATGACGTTGATGATGATGCTGATGATGATGCTGATGCAAATGCTGCTGCTGCTGATGATGATGCTGATGATGCTGATGCTGATGCTGATGCTGATGCTGATGCTGATGATGATGATGATGATGATGATGATGATGATGATGATGATGATGATGATGATGATGATGATGAAGCTGATGATGATGCTGATGATGACGACGATGATGACCCCGCTTTCCCAGGGGGGGGGCATCCGCTGACTCGCGGTCTCTCCCTCGCATTGCTACATTACGCCTGAGGCTCTTCCTGCCTGCTGGCGACCTCGAGCGATCCCGCGGAGGCAGGGGGGAGGGCGGGCCGAGTTTTGCCTGCGACCCACCGTTGGTGGGGTGCAAGCCGCGTTTCAGACGCTTCAAGCCCTCCTGATGGCGTTTTGAGGCGGGGCGCTCTCGGCAGGCCTCGCCAAGCTTCATGACACGGACCGAAGACGTATACCCTCCGCACACAATACAGAAAACTACGCCCTGAGCACGAAACATGCGGTGCGACTCGCGAGAGGAAACGTTCCACCAGGGCGGCAGCGCCTCAACGACAGAAACCTTGGTACCGACAGGACCCCTGGGAACGTTTGGTTCCCCCCTCTGGGGGAGGTGGGCCAGCTTCCGCGGCAGCGACGCCCGCGCCCGCGCGCGGGATGCCTCCAGCGGGACTGCCTGAGTTGTGGGGTTCCACGGGGGGCTCGGGGGCCTGGGCTCCGCTGCTGCTGCTGCGAGCTCCTGACCGCTCCTGCTGCCGCTGCTGCTGCTGCCGCGAGCCTCCTCCTCCCGAGCCCCCAGCGCCCCCCGCCGCCGCCACCGCCGCGACGGCAAGACCAGCTGCCAAAGCGAGCGCCAGCCTCGGGATGCCTTCCTGATGATGGTGGTGACAATGCTGCTGATGATGACGATGACGATGACGATGACGATGACGACGACGATGATGATGACGATGATGATGATGATGATGCTGATGATGATGCTGCTGCTGATGATGATGCTGATGCTGATGCTGAGGATGATGACGATGATGTTGACGATGATGATGCTGCTGATGCTGATGCTAATTATGATTATGATGGTAATGATGATGATGCTGATGATGATACTGAGACTGATACTGGTAATGAGACTGGTATTCATACCGATACTGATACTGGTGGAATGATGCTGCTGATGATGATGATGATGATGATGATGCTGATGCTGATGCTGATGCTGATGATGCTGCTGCTGATGATGATGATGATGCTGCTTATGATGATGATGCTGATGATGATGCTGATGATGATGATAATGATGATGATGATGATGATGATGATGATGATGATGATGATGATGATGAGCTCCTCCTCCTCCCTCATCCTCATGAACCTCCCTCGTCTTTTCCGCTCGCGGCCGGGGGATGAGAAGGGAGAGGATGAGGACTGATGAGGGGGGAGGGGGAGGAAAAAGAGAAGGGGGACGAGGAGCGAGCAGGACGAGGAAGGATGAGCGATGGGGAGGGGGAGGAAGAGCAACGGGGGATGAGGAGGAGGAGCAGCAGCACCATGGAAGCCGTCCGATGCCCATCCTGAAAAAACGTACAGCCGGGGCCCTGAAGAAGGAACCCTTTTGGTTGGGGAGGGGCTCCGCGTTCCTTAAGTGTTTCGCAGCTTGCCTCGGGTTTTCCTGATGTTTTCGATCGGAAATCGAAGTTTAACTCATGGAAAAAAGGGGCCTCGTTCCTTATTTAGGGTTCCTTGGGTCAACGCCCCGACTGTAGCCCAGGCTGGGGCAGTCAGACTGCACGCGCTGGAATGCTTCTCCTGCCAGGGGGGGGGGAACGGGCAGAGGGGCGGAGGAGAGCGGCCGAGGGAGGAGGCCGAACGCACATGCACACACGCAGCAGGCTGATAGGGCAGCAGCATTCGGGTCCACCATGGGCGAGCGGCCTCGGAGGATCGCAGCTTCTCCTCCTCCTCCTCCTCCTCCTCCTCCTCCTCCTCCTCCTCCCCACAGCCTTTCGGTTGCTTCCCGCCTCCCAGCCTTCCCGCCTCCCAGCCACCTGGCCATCTTGCCCCTCGGGCCACGATGGCACGTCACATTTGCACCTGCAGTGGAGGCCCATGCCAAGAAACACCCTGCTTGCCTCCAGGGTGCCCTGGCTTTCTTGGGTTTCGATGGTTCTGCTGTGGAAGGCGCGACGCCCCCGGCGCGACGTTCCCGCACCAAGCATCAATGGACGTCCTGGGGTCTCCGGGTTGGGTTTCTCGTGGAAGGTTTCTTGTGGATTGGCCTCCACTGTAAACTGCGCAGCCGCTTACACATTTCCTACTCCACAGTCGCCCACACCCCCTGCGTTGCTGGCTGCCCAGGAGGAGGAGGAGGAGGAGGAGGAGGAGGAGGAGGAGCTGAGCCTCTGCCCAGGCCCCGTCGCCGACCTCCTCCTCTTCCTCGAAGCTCTTTCGCCAGCGTCGCGGCCAGGGCCTCACCTCGAGGGAGAAGGATGCTGCCTCGCAGCGGCAACGTCGTGCGACGGAGCTGGCTCCTGGCCCGGGGGCGATCGAACGGGAGTGGCATGAGCATCTCCTGGATCCAATGGGCATTCTGAAACGGGTCGACTTCGCCTTCATGAGCTCTAGGCCTCCTAGATGGGGTCCGAGTACATGGGGCCGGAGGGTCGCGCCACATCGCCGGTGCAGTGCCTATGCGGCTCGATTTGCAGCCCGATTCGCTTCACGTCGACGTCGCCGATACATCGCCGACGTCGACGATGCATCGCTGGTGCATCGCCGATGCATCGGCGATGCGGCGCGATCCTCTGACCCCGTCTACGCCGACCCCATCCAGGAGGTGTCGATGAGCTGGAGGCGCCTGCACGCTGGTTTGCCCGAGTGCGCTCCGGCTGAGGAGTCCGCGGGCCGCGAGTGTTCGCTGACGGCGAGAGTTGCGAATAGGGCTTGGGGCGTAGGGCTGGCCTTCTCTTTGCCAGGATGGACCTCATGACTTGCATGCAGTCTTGGAAGCTGTTTGACACTGCCTCGACCAGGTTGTGCTTCTGCTGGACTGGCACGGTGGTGCAGCTCACTTGCTCCAGGGTTCTCACACGATTCTCGAGTTGAGTGACGAGTTTGCCTCGGACGCTGTTGCTGCCGCTGCCAGCCTCCCTTCCCTCCTCCGGCATCGCCTCGTGCAGCTCGCCTTCCTGCCTTCCTGCTTCTTGCTCTGCTGTTCGGAGTCGCTTACGATATTCTTGCTGCTCGACCTCGCCAGTCTTGATGATGATGCGGCCTCCATACGCTCTTGATGTGAAAATCAGATGCCAAGAGTGGTAGGAGATGGTGAGAGAGGTGCTCGGACAGCGTGGCTTCGTTATCGAACTCTTCGAGCGGACAGGACTTACGAACCAGGTTTCGTTTTTCTTTTATATTGTGGAGCTACAGTACGATCTCGAAACACATTTGAACATATCATGCAATTATTGTTTATCGTGCAGATACGTGCGATATGAGGCTTGTCATGTGTCCCCCCTGATGTCGAACGATATGAACGATGAGTTGTTTGTGCGTCGGCCATGTAGTAATACATTGTGACCCATCTGGAGAAACTCTTTTCAAACGAATTCGCCCGTCTCGTTGGACGGTGTAGCGGTGCTGGTGACGACTGGGGGCTGAGGGACTCCTGACGCATTTGGCTGACATCAATAGTTTGGAGTTCTCCTCCAAGATCGAACAAAACTATCCAATCGCATATCTGCATCTTCTAGCAAGTCAGCTCCTAGCTGCTTGGCGCCGAGAGCATCTATGTCGTGCTGCATATGAAGTGACCAGGATGACCTTTAACAACCATCCCTCCTTTAGCACCTCCCCATCCACCGCCATACTTCCTAACATAGCTCCCCAGATCTTCCAGTGGATTTTTGTTGGCCCTGGACATCACGTAATGCGATTACACTCGTGTCAGTTTAAGCTCCATACAAGGGGCTCAATCCCGAACTTGCCTAGCACTTCATGGTTAGATAGCGTATAAGTGTTTCCCTCTTCCCGTTTGCACGTCCTCTGCAGAATCGCCTCCCCCCTGGCCACGATTAATTTTTCGAGCCCAACGAGATCTCGAGGAACCGGGGGACCTATACCTGTTGCCCACAGTTCCATTCCTGACAGCGCGCCGTCCACAAGGAGGCCATCAATTAAGTTGACTCTTTGTTTCCAGGCTGCATTCGAGTATCGAACCTTACCAATTCAATAAGAGCTCACGCGTAGTGAATGCTGCCTCTCCAGCAGCTCGTGCACGGGTAAGAAATGCAGCGGGGGAGTGTCCGCCGAGATGCCTGGCACGGTGCTTGGTGGTGCCAGCTACTAGCGAGTGCCCTTCAGTCGCAAATCATGGAAGCTTGGTGTACCCTCTTAATGCCGTCTTCAGCGTCGACCAGCGTCGATCAGCGTCTGGGCGTCGATGAGATAGCGCCGATTTAGCGTCGGTTAGCGTCGAGTAGCGCCGATGTAGCGTCGGTCAGGGTCGGCCAGCGTCGATCAGCGTCTATCCGCAGGAGCCGACAGGATGGTACGGGAGGTCCCACGAGTTGCCACCGAACGAGTGCCCACGATGGAGTTAGCGAGCAAGTTCGTATGCGCCAGCACTTGTGAGAAACGACCTGCTTTCTTGGTTGCTGACGCTTTTGCTAGCTCCCACCTTCCTTCTGCCCCCGTCGATTGCTGTAGTCTCTGAAGCTGATCCTGCTTCTATGGGTCTTGCTCCTCCTCGTCCAATTTCCAGCATCTTGTTCGCCATGTCGTCTACGAATCCTGTTAGAGCTATCTGTCGCATGTCCGTCCCATCCTCGTCATATGGCACGCGAGGCTCGACAGCGATGTGCCATCCAGCTCCACGTGACGTGTCGGCAGGCTGCTACAAAATTGGCCGAGAGAACATGCGCGCGAAAATGCGAGTGGCTCCAGTATCGCCTGGGAAGACGCCACTGCCTGGCCGAAGCCAGAAGCACCCCGCCTCATCCTCGAGTTTGAACCCTTGATGCGATCTTCGATGATTTCGAGGTACTAGTCGCAGTATAGTGAGTCTGGAATCGCGAGGCTCGAGCTGTGCTTGACCGAGTAGAAAGCAGTGGTGGCGTCGTGGCACCACCAAAGGTTGGATACTCCACCTTTCTGCATCCGGTCGCTTCCTGTAACCCGGACGACCATGGCGGGCTCTCGTCTGCGTGCTCCGAGTCCCCCGCAAACCCAGTGTGGAGTCTGCCAGGCGTCAGGTTTGTCATGTTTTTTTTTCTGGGGAGCCCCAGAGCAAAGAGATCCCCAGACCATTATATGGTTCGTACGCCATCGCAGCCGAATTTGGCCTTTTTTGGGAAAGCCTGGCCGCTTGCGCAGCGCGCCATGCAACAGGTGCGTGACGCGTTGGATGTGGTGCCTGATGAGCCGGCTGCTCTGCGGGAGGACTGTGATGCCACTGGCTGGAGGGCCTGACGCGCGGACCACGACGAGACTCTGCCCGGTAACATGACACCAATGGCAACCGGCGAATACAGTCGGGGCCCTGAAGAAGGAGCCCTTTTTCGTTGGGAAGGGGCTCGGCGTTCCTTGATGGTTATACATTTGCCTTCGGTTTTCCTTATGTTTTCGATCGGAAATCGAAGTTTAGCTTGTGGAAAAAAGGGGCCTCGTTTCTTATTTAGGGTTCCTTAGGTCAACGCCCCGACTGTACCTACAAACTTCCAGACAGGGGCACTCGCCAGCGATATCTGCGAGCCGAGGCAGTCCTCTGAGCATCGCTCGGACGTGTGCGTTTTTTCCTCGGCGAGAGCCATCGAGGACAATCCCGGACCATCGAGCAAAAAAAACACGCGCGACCCCGACAAATACACGGGACATGGACGTCCGAGCGACGGCAAGTCGGTAACATGACATCAATGGCAGTCGGCGAATACCTACAAATTTTCAGACAGGGGCACTCACCAGCGACATCTGCGAGCCGAGGCAGTCCTGACGCCGCACACGGGCTGACTCCTGCCCCCCGACGCAGACCAGCGGGCCTTCGATCTGTCCCTGCGGGGCGCGCGGCCGCCGGCGTGGCCGCCGAGGGCGGAGAAGGCCCCCCGGAGAGAGCGCGTGCGGTCCTCATCCCGGAAGAGGGCGAGAGGGCCGCTTCTCCCAGCGGCTCGGGCCACCTGGAGGTGGAAAAAGGAGGAGGAAAAAAAGGAGAAGGAGGAAAACGAGAAGGGGGAGGAGGGGGAAACAGGAGGAGGAGGAGGAGAGAGAAGAGGAGGAGGAGGAGGAGGAGGAGAGAGAAGAGAAGGGGGAGGAGGGGGAGGAAGAGAAAGGAGGAGGGAGTGCGGGGGGGGAGGAGCACGAACAAAAAAAACACAAGAAGGGGGAGGAGGCGCGAGCAGGACGGGGAAGGAGGAGGAATAGGAGGAGGAGGAGGAGCAGGAAGGAAGGGGGAGGAGGATAGCGAGGAGCGCCCCGCCTCGCCCGTGCCTCCCACCCACCGAGGTACCGCGTAATCGACAGCCTCCACCGGGAACAGCAGGCGACAGACGGCGCGCGGCGGCCGGCGCCTGGTCCATCCTTTCATGGGGCGGCGCCGCACAGTGGAACAATGGAAGATCTCCAACCTGTGATGTACAATAAGCATAGAGACGAAGGGTGATGCACTTCCCAAGGGTACCCTTGCATCCTTGCCTCCTTGTTCATCTTCGGTCCATCCTCAAGCACATTCGATGGCAAACCCGAGGAGCGCGTCAACAGAAAAAAAAACAATGGTCACCGGGCAGGTGGTATCAACAGTACCTATTTAGAAATGCGATTTCAATTATTTTGAGATTGTTCGCACTTATCTGCTCGCGTGCCATTCAGCACTCCTGTCCTACGCCCTCGATTTGCGCTCTTTTCGTCTTCGATCGTACCCCCCTTGGGGAGAGATCTTCCCTGCCTGCCGCGCGTAGTTGGTGCAGCCCCTGGTACAGCCCCTGAAACAGGGGAATGAATGAAAGGAGGAGGGAAGGGACAATGGGGGAAGGAGAAGGACGGAGCATGAGGGTGCGGTAGTAAGAGATTTGCATGAGGAGGGTTGGGAGCAGGAGTGCAAGCGGCAGAACCAGACGGGCGGGTCGGGCGGGCGGCCCCTAACGGGCAGGTCGGGCGGGCGGGCCCAGACGGCTGGGTCGCGCGAGTGGGTCGCTGAAGCGTCAGCCCAGCATGAAACGCAAGGAAGTTCGAAGAGATAGCGCGATTCCCAAGTCAATCGTTCGGAAATTCATAGCGAGGGCGTGATTATTGAGTCGGGGGGACACGGCGCCGCAATATGTGGTGAGGAAGCACCTCGCGGGAGCGCGATTCTTACATAAATCATGGAGAACTCCCGCGCGAGAGCGCACATGTGAACTACATTGTGAGGAAGTGTTATGCGGGAGCCGTTGAAATCTCATCTCTTGAAAACAAGTGGCACGTGTGCCATGGCTCTTGCACACAAAGGGAAGGGGGAGGGTCGGAGGGGTGCGCCGTGCCGAAGTAAAACAAAGGGGTCGGGGCGGAGGGGCGCGCTGGCTTGTGAGTGGGGTGGGTGGGTGGGCTTAATAAAAGGGGTCGGGGCGGAGGGGCGCGCTGGCTGGTGGGTCGGGGGGATGCGGAGGGGGCGCGCGGGGGCGCGCTGGCTGGTAGGTGGGGGGATGCGGAGGGGGTGTGCCGTGTCGAAATAAAAAGGTGTCTGGGCGGAGGGGTGTGCCGTGCCGAAATAAAAGGGGTCGGGGCGGAGGGGCGCGTTGGCTGGGTGGGTGGGTGGATGCGGAGGGGTGCGTCGTGCCGACATAAGATAAAAGTCGGCGCGGAGGGGTGTGCCGTGCTGTAACGAAAAGGTGTCGGGGCGGAGGGGCGCGCGGCTGGTGGGTGGGGGGATGCGGAGGGGGTGTGCTGTGCCGACAAAAAGAGGGGTCGGTGCGGAGGGGTATGCCGTGCCGAAATACAGGGGGGGGTCGGGGCGGAGGGGGTGCGCTGGCTGGTGGGTGGGGGATGCGGGGGGGGGGGGGGGCGTGCCGAAATGAAGGGGTCGGGGCGGGGGGGCGCGCTGGCTGGTGGGTGGGGGGATGCGGAGGGGGTGCGCCGTGCCGAAATGAATCGGTCGGGGCGGAGGGGTGTGCCGTGCCGAAGGGGTCGGGGCGGACGAGCGCGCTGCTGGTTGGTGGGTTGGGGGGGGTGCGGGGGGTGTGCCGTGCCGAAATGAATGGGTCGGGCCGAGGGTGTGCCGTGCCGAAATAAAAAAGGTGCCAGGGCGGTGGGCGCGCTGGCTGGTGAATGGGGGGATGCGGAGGTGGTGCGCCGTGCCGAAATAACTGGTGTCGGGGCCTGCTGCCGTGCCGCAATCAAAAAAAGGTCGGGGCGGAGGGGGCGCGCGGGGGTGTGCCGTGCCGAAATACAAAGGGTCGGGGCGGAGGGGGCGCGCTGGCTGGTGGGTGGGGGGTTGCGGGGGTGCGTGCCGTGCCGGAATAAAAAGGGGTCGGGGCGGAGGGGCGCGCTGGCTGGTGGGTGGGGGGATGCGGAGGGTGTGCCGTGCCGAAATACAAGGGTCGGGGCGGAGGGTGTGCCGTGTCGAAATACAGGGGTCGGGGGAGGGGCGCGATGGCTGGTGGGTGGGGGGATGCGGAGGCGGTGTGCCGTGCCGAAACAAAACAGTCGTGGCGGAGGGGTGTGCCGTGCCGAAATACAGGGGTCGGGGCGGAAGGGCGCGATGGCTCGTGGGTGGGGGGGATGCGGAGGAGGCGTGCCGTGCCAGAATAAAAGGGTCGGGTCTGAGGGGTGCGCCGTGCCGAAAGGGGTCGGGGCGGGGGGGCGCGCTGGCTAGTGGGTGGGGGGGATGCGGAGGGGGTGTGGACGGGGTGTGCCGTGCCTGAAAAAAGGGGTCGGGGCGGAGGGGCGTGCCGTGCCGAAATAAAAAAGGGTCGGGGCGGAAAGGCGCGCTGGTTGGTGGAATGTGTGGGTGATGGGGGGGGTGCCGTGCCGAAGTAAAATGGTCGGAGCTCTAGACACCCTGTGCAAGAGAGCAGGTATTGTGGATCCCCCTCTCGTGCAACCAATTTTTGTCATTCACGTGCTCAACCCGGGGCTCGTTCCCGGTTTCTTAGGAAAGCTGGGTGTCACCAGTTTGTGCCCGTGGCCCCCGTTTTACAGCAACAGCAGCAATCGTTTTAGCACGGTTCGTTCTTATCCGTTCGCGTGCCAGTCAACACGTATATCCCAAACCCTCGGTATTTGCCCTTTTCCTCTCGGCCGTGCCCTTTTAGGCGTAGATGCTTTAGTTGCGACGTGTATTTCGTGCGTCCCCTAGAGCAGGGGAAGAGAGAACGGATGGAAGGAAGGGCCAAGGGGCGGGTGGGTTACTAAAGCGTGCGTCTTGCATGACTCGCGACGAAGTCTCCAGCGATAGCGCGATTCCCAAATACATCGCGAGGTAATCCGCAGCGAGAGCGTGAATCCTGAGTGACGAAGGCGCGGTGTGAGAATACATTATGAGGAAGTCCCACGCGAGAGCGCGATTGCAGCATACATTGTGAGGACGTTCCGCGCGAGAGCGCGATTTTGGAATGATTGGTGAGGAAGTATCTGGCGGGAGCCTTTTGTTGTTGTTGTTGTAGTTCGGGGCCAAACAATTTAGCTTGGTGACGCTTCACTTCCCCTTGTTAAACAGGGTGCGAGCACCGGGAGAAGCATTTCAATTGACAAACATACAATCCTCGATACCCGCCTTCTTCGTCTTCGATCGACCCCTTTTGCGGGTGTATATATATGTGTATATATACATGTGTTTTATGTATGTATGTCTTACCTGCAGCGTGAATTTCGTTCAGCCCTTGAGGCCGGGGAAGAGAGGACGGATGGAAAGAAGGGACAAGTGGGAAGGAGGAGGGTGGGGCACATGATAGAATGGCAGGAAGGGGGCTAAGAGCAGAAAGCGCGTGGCAGAACCAGACGGGCAGATCGGGCGGCCAGACCCTTATAGGCGGGTCGGGAAGGCGGGCCCAGGCGGCCAGATCGTGCAGGCGGGTTGTTGAAGCGTGCGTCTTGCATGAATCGCGACGGCGTCTTAAGCGATAGCGCGTTTCCCAGGGACATACTGAGATAGGCCACCCCTTGGAGATGCACTTCAATTGAAAACAGAAGGGGGGCCAGCAATACTTATCCTTTGGAAACGGAGAATTCAACACCAAGAACAGCAATAACGATGGTTCCCGCTTGATGCCTCCTGACAGCTTATTCCAAAATCGCGCTCCCGCGCGAGAATTCCTCACCATGTATGCAGGAGCCGCGCTTTCGCGTGGGACGTTTTCGCAATGCAATGTGTTCAGACGCCGCGCTGTTGCCTCTCATGAGTCACGTTTGCGTTTTTTTTCTCCCCAATACTTCAAGGCATCTTCGCGATTCATCCAGGATGCACGCGTCAACAACCCGCGTGCTCGACCTGGCCGCTTGGGCCCGCCTTCCCGACACGCCCGTTCGGGTCCGCCCGGTCGATCAGCCCGCGTGGCTATGCCACGTGCTTTTTGCTCCCAGCCCCCATCCTGCTGCTTCCTCTATTGTGATCCATCCTTTCTCCCTCCCCCTTCCATTCGTTTTTCTCCCTTAGCATAGGGGCTGCACTACATGCAGGTGGCAAACAAGGAAGATATGTCTCCCAAGGGTGTTCGATCGAAAACGAAGAGGGCGGATACCAATGGCTTGGGATATATGTGTTGAATGGCACGCGAGCAGATTGGAGCGAACACTCTTAACATGATGGTTGTTGCTGTTGTTGTTGTTGTTGATGATGTTGAGGAGTTCCCATTTTTAGATAAGTATTAGTGTTGATCCCCCATACCCGGTAACCATCGTATTTGCCATGTACGTATTTATCCCGGGGCCCGCACCTTGTTTTTTTTCTTACTACGAGGGAAAGCGAGGGGCCACCAAACTGCGTTGTTTCCCCCCGAACTACAACAGATCGCGCTCTCGCCCTGCACTCCCTCACAAAGTATGCAGGAGTCGCGCTCTCGCGTGGGACTCGCAATTTATGTAAACCCCGCGCCCTCGACACTCAGGAATCACGCTCTCGCTTCGGCCGATCTCGCGATTTACTTGAGCAGCGCGCTATCGCTCGAGACGTCCTCGGGTTCATGCAGGGCGCACGCTTCAGCAACCCGCCCGCCCCGTGTCCCTTCCATCCGACCTTTCCTCCCTTGCCTTAGGGGCTGCATAAAGAAACACATTGCAGGTAAGAGAGATATACCCCTAAGAGGGTACGATCGAAGACGAAGAGGGCGGGTATCGAGGGTTTGGGATATACGTATTGTCTGGCACGGAAGCAGGTGAGAGCGAACAGTCTTAAGATGTTTGTTGTTGTAGTTATACGTGTAGTTGTAGTTGTAGCTGATGTTGTTGTTGTTACTGTTGCCGCTGTTGTTGTTATACAGTTGGGGACAGTAGCGCAGCTTGGACGATTCCTGGCCCAAACTCAGGGTGTGCGCCCAAGGAGGAACATTCACTCGTCGCCGGAGGGGGGATCAACATGCATTTCTCTTTGTAGAAGTGAAAAATCAACGCTCGTGCTCTTTACTTCCTCGCGCTTTGCTTAAGACCGACGGTCTTTCTCGCCGCCCAAAGCCGAGCTGCCAACAAAACCAGGGGTTGTGCTCTATACCTCTTTGGTTTCTCCACCCAGGAGTAGCGTTCCCGTCTAAGAGCATTTGTTGTGTTATTGGAACAGTTTTGGGTTCTAGCAAACATTTGAGGTAGGCCTATAGGCTTGCCTGGACGGTCGGTCCCTGCTCAAGTCGTCGTTGGGTCGTTTTGGAAAGCTCCTGGGGGCCTATTGGGCCGATCTTGGGGGCATCTTAGGGCGCCGGGAAGCCACAACAGCGGGAAGCCACAACAGCGAGAACGCCACATGTTGTCGTTCTCGCCAACAGCGAGAACGCCAACATTGAATTTGCTTATTGGGGTCCTCTTGGTGTGTTCTTAGAGGCCTCTTCGAGCATATTGGCATTTTTTGTTTGGCAGGAGGCCATCTTTTGTGTCTTGGACTGGTCGTTCGGCGATTCGGGGCCTTCTCGGGCCGTCTTCGGGGCCTATTGGGTCACTCTTACTCTTGGGTCATCCTGTGGCTTTTCCTGGCACCGGGAAAGCCCAGAGGGGATGGCATTTTGACCCAGGACCCCCTCGCTACCCCCCCTCGCTACCCCCCCCAGGACACCCCTTCTGCGGGGAAGGCATCAAAGGGAAGGGGTTTCCCTTCGACTCAATTGCTATTACGACGTTGCTTCGGCAAACGGAGCAGCGTCTCACAAACGCCGACATGGTCGGCGGATTGACGGAGCAACGGAGGAGGGAACAGGGGTAGAGAACGGATGCGTAGATTGTGTCCGAGTAGATGGGATCCGAGTAGATGGGTTCGGAGGATCGCGCCGCATCGCCAATGCATCGCCGATGCATGGACGATGCATCGCCGATGCATCGGCGACGTCGGCGGCGTATCGGGGACGTCGGCGTGGGGAAAATCGGGCTCCACATCGCACCGCATCGGCGATGCATCGGCAATGCGGCGCGATCCTCCGCCCCCATCTAGTGCGACCCCATCTGGGAGGCCTAGAGTAGAAAGTGAGACACAGGGCGAGGGGGCGGGGAAGGTGAGCAGCAGACTGAAAACTCGCGGCCCGTGCCAACTCGCCCGGAGCAACCCCGAAAGCAGCCACCAACCCCCCGCAGACACCGAGAACCCCGCAAGCCAGCCACAAACGACCCACCACCAAAACTAGTCATCGGTGGAACCCTGAATCCTGTCAGCACCTCCCGTAGAAAGGAGGCGACCCGCCAGTGCCATCACTCGAAACCGTGGGTCGCAGACGTCGCCGCGCAGCGCAGATCGCCAGGTGCCGGCGGTGGCCAACAGGCGTGCGTCCACGGAGAACCGGCCCGCTGGTTCTCTGGGTCGGCGCTCCCTTCTGCACGGCCAGTCGCCTCGGAGCAGACCAGCGAGCTCCAACACAGCCCGGCGCCCCGCGCCTGAACGGCGAGTTATCTTCCGAGCTTCTGACGGCTCCCGTCCTCCGCCTTCCTGGGCGTCGCCGCCGCCGCTGGGGAAATCAACCGATACCGCTTTTCCCTGGTGCGTTCTGACCAGATTTCGAGGCGAGTCCAGCGGTGGCGACGAGGGCCTCCCAGAAGGCCCAAAAAGAGGAAAACGAGCGAAAGGTAGTGGTTTGAAGAAGCAGGAAAAACGGCATAGACATAAATTGTCGATGGTCCGCGCAGATTTCTTGGATCTCCGCTGGACCACCCTCCCTGGCGTGCGGAGCGCGCCAGGGGCGGCGCTGGAGGCGCCGCCGGGGGGCCCAGCGCAGATCCAAGGAAGTTTATGTTCATGTTTTTGTTCTCTTCTTCTTCGAGTAAAAATACCTTTCTCTCCGATCCACCGCCGTCGTGGCCGCCGCCGTCGCCCCTCGGCCGTCGCTGTCGCCGTCGCCGTCGCCGTCGCCGTCGTCGTCGTCCTCGTCGTCCTCGTCGTCCTCGTCGTCCTCGTTATCGTCGTCGTCGTCGCCGCCGCCGCCGCCGCCGTCGCCCCTCGGCCAGGTGATGCGCGGCCAGCTCCAGCAGCTGGTCGGCGTCGGCCGGCCGGCGCCGCTCGCGGGCGGCGCGCCCTGGCCTCCCGCGCGGGCGGCTTCGCCTGCGGCGGGCGAGTTCCTGGAGCCCCGGGCAGCCGCCGCTGAGAGCAAGAGAGGCAGGGCAGATTGCTTGTCCTCCTCCTCGTCCTCCTCCTCGTACTCCCTCGTCCTCCTCCTCCTCCTCCTCCTCCTCCTCCTCCTCCTCCTCGTACTTCTCGTCGTCCTCCTCCTCGTATTCCTCCTCGTCGTCCTCCTCCTCCTCGGTCTCCTCGTCCTCGTCCTCCTCCTCGCCCTCCTCTAGCAGAGCAGCGGCAGCACTTCGAGCAGGGTACAGTGGAGGCTCATGCCAAGAAACACCCTGCTTGCCTCCAGGGTGTTTCTTGGTTCTCGATGGTTTTGCAATGGAAAGCGCGACGCTCCCACGCCAAAAATCAGTAGACGTCCTCCGGTCTCAGGGTTGGGTTTCTTGTGGTCGAGCTCCTACTGCACCGAATGAGCCCGCGGCTGATTGCTTATGATCAGGGCTCCAAGATCGAAGGAGAAGCATAAACATAACTTTTGCCACTCCGCGCGGGTTTCTTGGATCCGCGCTGGACCGTCTTGACGGCGTCTCCGGCGCCGCCCCTGGCGCGCTCCTGGTGGTTTATGCCGCTTTCTCTTCATCTATAAGAGGATCCAAGCCTCCCAGATGGGGTCCGAGTAGATGGGGCCAGAGGATCTCGCCGCATCGCCGATGCATCGGCGATGCGGCATGATGCGGGGTCCGATGTTCTGCACGCCGACGTCGCCGATGTCTCGCCGACGTCGCCGATGTAACGGCGGGCGCGGAATCCGATCCTATCTATTGGGACTCAATTTGGGAGGCCATTACATGAGGAAAAGATATCAATACCGCTGCTCATGTTGCAGAGCTCTCGTCGCCATTGTTGGATTATCCTCGAAATCCTGGCAGAATGCAGCACGGGAAATGCCTCAGAGGATGTGCTTCCTAGACGGGGTCCGAGTAGCTGGGGCCGAAGGATCGCGCCGCCTCAGCGATGCTTCGGCGATGCGGCATGATGCGGAGCCCAACGTTTTCCACGCCGACGTCGCCGATGCATTGCCAACATCGCCGACGCATCGCCGATGTATCCGCGAGGCATTAGCGATGCGGCGAGGTGTCCGACCCCTTCTACTCGGACCCCATTTAGGAGGCCTCTAGAGAAGGAGAACATACCGAAACCGCTAGAGCTCTCGTCGCCATTGTTGGATTCCTTGAACTCCAGGTTAGAATGCAACACGGGAGAGTTCTCAGAGGATGTAGGCCTCCCAGATCGAGTCTGACTAGCTCGGGCCAGAGCATCGCGCCGCATCGCCGATGCGTCCTCAATGCGGGACGTTGTGGAGCCCGATCTTTGCCACGCCGACGTCGCCGATGCATCGCCGAATTATCGGCGATACGTTGGTGATGTGGCGCGATGTCCGACCCCACCGATGCCGCTGCTCCTTCTGGAGAGCTTCCCAGAGAAGTAAAATATACCGACACCGCTAGAGCTCACGTCACCGTTGCTGGATCCGCCCCAAAGTTCTGGTCCATGGAGTAGCGGTATCGGTACCTTTCTGCTCCCCAAACGGTTGCTCGTGACGACCCAGGACGTCAACGCCTGGTCCGCTTCGCTCCCTCGCTCCGCGGGGTGCACGGCAGGAGCGTGCACAGTGTGCGTACGGCTTCTGATGTGAATCTGAGGGTGTCCAGGGCCTTCGGAGTGCCGGTGATGCCAGAACGCTGCATGTCCAACAACCTCAGAACACAATACAGTGCCGTTTTTAATATATGCTTCGCGTGCGGATCATGTATAAAAAAGCGCAGGGATGTAGTATTAAAAACAACGATGAGTTCATGCATAAATTTATTCGTAAATTAATCATGTATTAGACATCCTATACTTGTGAAGCAAAATCTATGTATTAAAAACTGCCCTGTAGTTTTGCTTCTGGATGCCCCCTGGGGGCGCCCTCGGGGTCTCCCGGACGGTATCCTGGCGGTGTCCATTGTGGTCTGCCTCGTTGGGGTACTCTTCATACTACGCTTCACTTTGCGTAGTACTTTGTGGTGTGAGCTCGCTAGTGCTCTAAAGAGCTGTTTAGGGTCTTTTGCGCCAAGGGTGGATTCTCATGCTGCTTTCCAGGGCACGAGCCCATGGAGCTCTCGACCCCTTGTCGGGGACGAGCTTTCGGACACCGAGAAATGCGAGACACCTATGTCTCGGGTGGCTTTGCAAGCACACACTGGTGGTCTGCAAGAGCTGCACTTGCATGGACCAGGATTTTTCCAGCAGCCCATGCACAGAGCGAGGGCTTTTGGTGGCTTGCACCAAGCTGAGGCCCTCCAGCATCTCATCTTGTACACTCTGCACGGGTGCTTTGCAGCACTCTTGTCGTATCGAGCAGCGTTTCGGTGCAGGGGGTCGGCGCAGAGCTGCGAGACACCCGCTGGAGATAGCAGCGGCTTCGCCGACCCTAGAGGAGGGCCGAGGAGAGGGGGGAGGAGCAAGGGGGGGCACGCAGGGGGGAGGAGGGGCCAGTTGCGCTCACACCACCTCTGACATCCTGCCCCTCCCACCCATCCCTTCCCATGGCGATGATTGGTTCTCTATCCGCCGACGCGTGCTACGGCGAACCTGGAGTTGCAACAAGGACCCCATTGTTTTATGCGCAATCGGAACAAAAAGGGGGAGCTGCGTACACTAGAGGAGGAGGAGCAGGAGGAGGAGGCGGCGGATACGAAGGGGTATGCACGGGAGTAAGAGGAGGAGGAGAAGGAGGACGAGGAGGAACAGCAGCAGCAGCAGGAGCAGGCGTGGGAGAAGCTGATGGAGCAGGATGACAAGGGGAAGGCGGGGGAGGGAACCGGAGCGGGGCGACAACGATGAGGAAGCACTCGGATCCAGAAAAGAGGCCCTCGCAGGGCTGGATAGCCATTTTGAACGACGAGAGCACATCGAATATCCGAAATTGAGCCCAACGCGCCAGAGGGAACACGATATCGAAGGACCAGAAGCTCGAACATGAGGCCAGTGTTGTAGCGATCCCATTTTGAAAGTTTTTGGATTGCAATCGCAATCCGTAGGACAAATCAACATTTGAAGCCCTTCTGGGGAAAAGCAATACGCGGAGAGGGCCGCGTATCTTTTGGACGGATTCAGGGGAGAGAGACGAGTAGTACCCATAATGTGCGATTGCAGAGGATGATAAGGAGGACGAGGATGATGAGGAGCAGGAGGAGGTCTATGGAGACCTCCAGGGGCTCTAGAGGTTTCCTGCAGGCACTGGCTGTCCAGCACATTCATCGCCGACTCTCGAGGAGGGTGCGGAAAAGGAGGGCAAGAGTTTTTCTTCGCCCATCTACATCATTGCCGCACCTGTTCGCTGCCTGATTTGTGGCCAGTGTGCCTACGTCGGCTTCCCTGCGCCATGGTGTTGTTTTGCCATACAGACGGTACGGAGGCCGAGAGACTCTGTGATCTCGCGGCTACGATCCAGGGAGCTAGGCCAAAGCCCGAGAGCAGCAGGGTCCGCCTCCAGCGGGCATAAGTGGAGTGCTTTGCCTGGTCCTCTTGCTCCCACTCCCTCCTCATTCCCGCTCTTCTTCGTCCTGTCCATGTTGCTGGTGATGAGATCATTTTAGGGGACCTCCATTTCCGAGCTTTGACAGGAACGTGTAGTGGAGTTAGCAGGGCCCATTTCGATGTCTGTTCATGGGAGCCTTGGGCGGAAACAGTTTTTCCTGCATTTGGACTGCATTTGGCCCTTCCTGCTCCTCCTCGCCCTTCTCGTTCCCCCCCTCGTTCTTCCCGTCTTCCGTGTGAAGGGGCGAATCCGGTCCAAATCTGATCCCAAGTCTGGTCCTACATATGTTTCAAGTCTTGTCCAAATCAGGCCCAAATCGGACAGCGTCGGGGGCCACGTTGGCTGCCATGGAACAAACACCAAATCCCGATGGTACCATGTTCGTCCTCCTTGTCCTCCCTCTCAACCTTCTCAGGGTATAGTCGACTGCAGAGAAGGAGAGCGGCCGTGAATGTAAGCCATCTCTGGCAGACAGGCCATTTCTCGCAGGACGTTCCATCTCCATTCGTGCTCACGGTATTTGAGGTGGCTGAGTGGCTTCATGATTGTGTCGCCATCAAACAAACGGTTATTTCTGACAGTGTTTGGGCGATACCGAGGCAGGCATATTGCTGGCCCCCAGCCGAGATTCGACAGTTTGTTTCGAAGAGGTGCGGCTTGAGCGTGGCTGGAAAGGTATTGGTCGATCCAGCTTCTGCCCATTTGGCAGACTTGCTATAGCTGACGCACTTGATTACTCGTTCACGTTTCTTTGGGTCCACTTAAGATCCGATCGATCGGATTCGGTATCGGTTCCAGCCGACCCGATCCGATTCGATTCCGATACTCCGACGACCCGAGGCGGCCCGATGTTTGCATGGTGTTGTTGTGCATCGTGGCGCAGCCGATCCGATTCGGTTCCAGTTCCGTGCCGATGCAGGCCGATCCGACGCAGATTCGGCCCGGATTGTGGATTCGATGCCGACCGATTGCCCCTGCTGCCTGCTGGAGGAGCCTCACGCGGAGACCGTGGCGGAAGCCGTGGCGGCCATGCACGGCCAGCCCCGACCCCTTGCCGCTCTCCTCCTCCCTGGCGCAGCTGGACCGCTTTTGCGTCGCGCCCACCGTTCCGAGATCCCTCGCGCAGCTCTTTCCCCTTCGCCTCTCCTTCTTTCGTTGTGGAAGTCGATTAATGGAGAGGAAGCATGCTGCCAAATACGTTCCAGATGTTTAAAGGTTTTAATTATGTTAAGAATCCGTAGCCATTTTGGCTCAAGCCATTTTGGCTCAATCCGTGCGGCAGGCTCGGACGATTTCGGCGCGTGTGCCGCCCACATAGCTGCGCGGTGCGCGCCATGGGATATCTCGTCTGTCTCGTCTGTCGCGATGCTGGCAAGACTTCGTGGATCCCCGACACCAGCCCCCGCCAGAAGTGTAAGTTTTGCAGTACTCCCTTTCCTGGCCGCTCCAGAGGACAGGTCCAAGGGAAGAAAGGAAGGAGCAAAGGCAGGCGCAATGAGCCTGTCGTGTCCCCTCCCCCTGCTCGTTTCCATGATCGTCATGATGTTGACGGTTCTGCCACTCCCCCAGTTCGGTCTTTGGATGAACGTCTTCAGGCTCCATTGGATGATGAAGTGCAGGATAGGTTTGGATCTGACTCTGGCGACGACGGTATTGGCAGCGATCGTGGTTTCTGGGCTGACTATGTCGACGACGACGTTGATGGCGGCTGTGTCGACACCAATGGCAATGAGCTCTCGGTTGCGCAGATTGACCAGATTATCAAGGCCCTGTTGGGCCAGCTGGATTCCCTCCGCCTGCTTCCGCCGACCAGGTATGTTCTCGATCAGGTTTCGAGTCTCCAGGACGAGTTGCAGCATCTCCGAGCACAAAAGTCCGACATGCTTACCGTCCCCCAGAAGCGCGCGTTCTACAAGCAGCGTCATCACTGGGCCAGTAAGAAGTTTGACAAGATCTCTAGCCAGATCCGTGAGCTCGATCGTAAAATCCTGGACCTTCAGAGCGAAAGGGACGCCCTCTGCTCTCGTCAGGAGCGGGTCGCTCAGGATATGGCTATGTGGCAGGCTAAGTTGCAGGATCTCCCGTCGAGTGAGCCAGGTCCTGAGGGTTTCACGCCCCCAGATCTCTCTGCCGTGGCGGACGTCTTCGCAGCTTCCCAGGCAGCGCAGAGAGACAAGAAGCTTGCTCAGGCGTTGCGTGACCTCCAGGGTATCGTTATGTCTGGCTATGCTCCTGTTGGTATTGCCAGAGAGCCTCGGTCTCAGTCTGAGGAACCCAGGATGTCTGTCGACCAGCAAGGTTCCCCAACACGCGTTGCCAGGGCTCCTCCCCGTACCTCTTCCTCACTGCCGCCTGCGCCGAAACGTCCTGCTCATGCCCCTGATGTTGCAGTTGATCAGTCGGGACAGTCAGGAAGGTTTTCGCCGTCGGCTGCCGCCACCGCTGGCCCCGCCGACACCCCAGCTGTGGTGGAGGGCTCCAATCCCATGGGCCCGTCTGACCTTTAGCACATCGCAGACCCCGCCCGACAAGTCAGCCTTCGTTCAGAAGCCTCGTCGGGACTGGGTCATCGTTACTGTGAACGTCACCTCCTGGTCCAATGCCGATATTTTCCTGGAGGCCTATTCTGATCGGTTTGATGCTGTCGGTTTTCAAGAACTCTGTCGTACTGAAGAGGCTATCGAGTTCGCAGTCAACCGTGCTCACAAGCATGGGTTCCATGCGCACCCCCACCCCTCAATTAGTACTCAGAAAGGTGGATTGAGTTCAGGAGTGGGCCTTGTCTCGCAGTATGCCAGGTCCTTCTCTGAAGTTGTATTGGATCCGATTGTTGTCATGCCCCCCCCAGAGAGATTTATCCTAAAGCTATGGCATGGGGTCGTGGATCCAGGTATCCCTTGGGCCAATGTCTACTTACACACGGGGGAAGGCGCTGAGGATCGCAATGCCCAGTTGCTGATGCAGGCGGCAGCAGTCATGAAGACCATATCCACCCCCTTTATTATATCGGGGGGCTGGAATATGTCCCCCAAGGACTTGCAGAATACGGACTTCTTAACGCTCATAGGTGGGGTCATTGTCGCGCCAGATCGCCAGACCTATGAGTCCGCGGGTGCCCAGTCTTTGATTGACTACTTTGTGGTTCACCCCTTGCTCTCGGCAGCTGTTAAGTGTGAGGTCTGGGAGACCCCCCTGATCCCCGAGCATCAGCCTGTCGCTCTCACCCTTCGTGGAAATCTTCACTCTGATTTGGTGCATGTTTTTCGGCGTCCGCCGCGCATCCCTGTTATTCGGCCAGTAGGGTGTTCAAATTGTCCGCCTTCCTGGGATGCCTTTCCTGATCCTGACGCAGTCAACGCTGTGGAATATTTGGAGCGTCTTACCTCTTCTTGGCTGAAGACGTCTGCCCAGGAGTTGCTTGCCCTTTTCCAGTTGCCAGACCCGCAGGATTATACCAAGTGGGGTGAGCCTCCCTCGACTATCCAGATTTCTGTTTCCAGACTGTTTCCTGGAGGTGTGCTTTCGTCATATGAAGGAAGGCTCTGGAGGTATCTCTCTAACCGTCTTGGCACTCTTCTATATCTTGCTGGCAAGCAGTTGTGGCGCGCTTATCGGAGAGCATGTCAAGCCCTGCGGCGGTATCGTCCTTCGCAGCGTGATGGTGCCCCCCCTCCCCGATTGGTCATGGTGGGGGTACTTTGCCAACAGGCTTGGTACCCTAGAACTTGGTTCCATAGATTGGCTGCGGGGCGTCTCGGCTGAGTCCGCATCTGCTCTGGAACGCGCAGCATCTGCACAGATATACCAATCCTGGACATCATGGGCCATCCGATCTGTCCAGGAAGGGGGTTCTGCTGCGCACCGCTTCGTCAAGGGATTTATGGATTGGGCATCCTTTGACAAGACCACCCCGAACCCAGATGCCCCAGTCGGTACGCCGCAGCATCACCTTAAGGCGCGAGAAGGAGTTTGGCGTGCTATCTGGGAGCCCATGCAGGAGCACCCTGATGATCCTTGCCTGGCCCTGGATCTCCCGCCGTTTCCGCCCGACTGCCTTGCATCCTTGCCCCGCCCGTCCTTGGACAAGTACAGGCAGATGTGTCGCAGGTACAGAGCTCGTACGTCGGTCGGACTGGACTCTATGCATCCACGTCATCATGCGCTGCTTTCTGACTCATCTCTTCTTGCCTTGTTTGGTATCTGGCGTGCTGTCCTGCGATTGGGTAGATTTCCTCCCATTCTCGCTGTGTTCACCATGAATCTGATCCCGAAGGCTGATGGTGGCGAGCGTACGGTTGCCCTATTCACGACGTGTGTGCGCACGTTCTCTCGGTTCTTCAGGCACGCGTACGGTGCTATGTGGACGCGTTTGCATCCTCGTCCGCGCGTGTTTGGTGTGCGCGGTCATTCCTGCCAAGCATGTGTGTGGCGCATGGGCGTGCTCACGGAGTTGGCTTCCGCCAAAGGATTGTCTGCGTTTGCACTCTTGCTCGACATCCAGAAAGCTTTTGAACAGGTTCGCCATACACTTCTCATAAGGCGTGCTAGTGAGTTTGGCTTTCGTCCTGCTCTCTTGAGGGTTTTCCTGTCTCTGCATCGTCCCCCACGTTGTCACGCTGCGGCGAATCGTTGGGGAGTGGGTCAGAGCTAGCAAGACTATTGTGGCAGGTTGCTCATTTGCCGGTCTGTTTGTGCGTATTTTATTGGTGCCCGAGCTGGATTTGTTTCGTCAGTCATATCCTAATATGCACCTCGGCCTCGTCGCCGACGACGTCCAGGTCCTGGGGATAGGCTCGGAGAGGGAGTTGCTCAAAATCGGCCCCGATGCGTCGCACCTTTTGATGAGCAAGCTGACTTTCTCGGCATGTTTACCGCTCTCCGAGAAGAAAATCGTGCTCTTGGCTACCGACCCCCAGTTGGCCCAGAGCATCGCAGCTGAAACTCCACGTCTCGCTGGTGCTGTCAAGTTTTCGCGTCGCAACCTCGGGATTGACGACCAGTTGCGTCAGGGGCGTCGTTCTCGTACCGTTCTCACTGGTCGATTAAAAAAGGCCAGGTTGGAGGCCCGACGCCTACTGAAGATAAAGAAGGCTGGTGCAAAGGTTGCAGGTATTCTTAACACTAACTTGCGGCCCACTGTCATCTACGGCATTGATGTCGTCGGTCTATCTACTCATCAGATTCGTCGGGTTCGTGCTATATACCACGCTGGTCTCGGCACAGGTAAGCGTAGGTCTGTCACGATGGATTTGGCGTTGCACGGTGTTACCGACCCTGCTATTGACGCACATGCTGATGTTATTCGCCTCTGGACCGTCTCTAGATGGGACTCTCTTCTTCCCGTTGGAATGATAGACCAAGTTTTCCAGTTTGCCTACGCCGAGGTGACGCCAGATACCCCCTGGACTGAATTACAGGGCCCAGGACAGATTTTGGTTGCCACTATGCGTAGAATTGGGTGGTCTGCGGTTTCGCCCACATTATGGCGAACTTCTCTTGGAACGGAGGTTGACATTTCGTCTACTCCCCCTCGTGAGGTGGTTGCACTAGTGATTCGCGACGCGTCTGTTTGGGGTTGGAAACAGGGATCTGAGCGTCACCCATCCTTCAGTCATCTGTCTGGACCACCCTTTTCTCCCCCCTCTTCTTTCTTTGTTGTCTCAAAAGGACTGAAGGATGGGGTGTCCTCCAGCAACGTGCTCTGAGGACTTTTATATCTGGGGGCATATACTTTGAACCTATGTGCCCCATTTGCCAGGTTGTCCCTTCTGACCCCGTGTTTCACACCCTGTATGAGTGTGGTGGGCTTGTGGAGTTTCGTCGTTGGTTCGGCCCGACTCCTGCCCTCACCCGTTGCATAGAGCAGTGCCGCGAGAACCCTGTCTGGACCACTGCCATGGTTCCCGACCCGCGCTGTTGCTCCCTGCTGGCACCACCTTTCCCAGACCCTGTCTGGGAAGGGGCCGCAGACGGCCTCTTTTTCTCGTCGCCTGCGTACGGAGACGGCTCGGGAAAGCATGGTCCCTCGCCGCTCAC